AAATTCAGATTATCTATATAGCTTCAAATCACAAGTTGTCTCAGGGCGCTTTACAGGAACATTCACAGACATGGAAAAGCCAACTAGTAAAGTTCTCTATCTAAGGAAGCAGCAGACTCGTTAAATCTTCACTTCTTCACAGTCTCTCATCCTGAGCGAGCACAGTGGCAACAGTGGAAAGGAAAAACTAACTTTTAACAGGAAGAAACCTCAAGCAGAACCAGACTCAGGACAAGTGGCCACCTGCTTTGACTCGACTGCTTTGCTTTGCTGGGTTTGAATACAGAATGACAGGTCCAGATGTAGCTGCAGGTACTGGTGTAGTCTACATTTTTCTAGCGGGTACACTGTGGTAAAGTTAGTTTTACGTTGGACACCGTTGAAGCCACGAAGCGAGAATGTCCAACGTCCAACTAACTTTACCACGGTCGGTCCATATACTGTACTTAGAAACCAAAGTACACTCATTAGTACAATGTGATCTTCAAGGTCACTGAGCTCACATTCTGTGTCAATGATCACGGTTTTAAAGGAATATCTTTTGTCAGGTGACTGAAGACAAGAAACTAAGAGGACAGACTAGAAACATTTGGAAATCTCCAGACCCTCCCAGCCACGCTGGACCTGATTTTGATTCTCTTGTGACAAATTCCTTCGTTTCTCACCATTTCAGTCATGGCGTCAACGGAGGAGGAAGAGATCGCTTGCCTCTTGGCAAAAAACAAAAGAAAAGGCCATTAAACCAGATCAGGGATGAAGAAGGGGAATTTAATACATCGGTGTCGCAAACAAAACAGTCCGTCGCTGAGCAGTTTATTGTGCGACACAGAGTAGGCGTACGCGGTCGTAAAAATTGAGCTTTGCAAGGACGTGCCCTGCGGACGTCCGCTTCAACTCTAATCCGGTACGAGCAGACCTATGTGGACTGAAGTATGCGCGACAGCTCAGGAAACCCAAGCCAACCCTAACTATAGGATTTATCAAAAAGGAAAGTCTTAAAACTGGAGAATGTGTCATTCTCACAGACAGAAACTGGAAGTTGGTTCCACAAGAGAGGAGCCTGAGAACTGAAAGATCTTCCTCCCATTCTGCTTTTGGAAACTCTAGG